AAAGAAACATTCAGCTTGCTAGGAGTTGGGAAGCTTGAAGTCATTGATAATGAATTACTTGCGAATGAATGTGATATCTCTAGCTTGAGGACACACAGATTCAGGAGCTAAACTGTGGGGAATATTGTAGTGGATGCTACTGTAATGGGCAGAACATCAATTGCTAAGTTTCAATTTGAACTGTGACAGCAGGCAAACACTGAAGGTGTGTTTAAGATGCTTTTTTTGAGTGTGAAAGTATGTGCCAGTTATTTTCAAAGAAGTTGTGCTAACTTGTGTTTGTTATCTTGATTTAAATATCACTATATCTTGAAAACTAATGTTTCATAGAGTCATAGAGTCCTACAACACAGAGACAGGCCCTTCAGCCCAAACTGGTCCATGCCAACCAAAATGTCCATCCACGCTAACCTATTTTAGTGTCACCCACAAACGTACGAACCATGCCTTGTACATTCTCATCCAAATTATTGATATAGATTAAAAAAACAGTTATGGGCCCAGCAAGCACCAATCCCTGAGGTACATCACTAATCATAGGCCTCCAGTCCAGCAAACATACTTCCACTATTACTCTCTGCTTCTTAACATCAAGCCAATTGTGTATCCAATTTGCCAGCTCTCCCTGGATTCCATGCGATCTAACCTTCCAGAGCAGCCTACCCTGTGGAACCTTATCAAAGGCCTGACTGAAATCCATACAGACTACATCTACTCATCAATCTTCCTGGTCACTTCATCAAAGAACTCTAACAAATTTGTGATGAATAATCCCCCATGCACAAAGCCACGCTGACTATCCTAATCAAACCCTGTCTTTCCAAGTATATGTATATCTTATCCCTCAGAATTTTCTCAAGTAACTTACCTACCACAGATGTTAGGCTTACTGGTCTATAAGTCCCAGGTTTTTCTTTGCAGCTCTTCTTGAATAAAGGCACAACATTTGCTAATCTCCAGTCTTCTGGACCTCACCCGTGGCTAACGATGATGCAAATATATCAGTCAAAGCCCCCGCAATTTCTTCACTAGTGTCTTGCAGGATTCTTGGATATATCTGGTCAGGAACAGGAGATTTATTTAACTTCATACATTCTAATACGTCCAACACCTCCTCCACTGTGATATGGACTGTATCCAAGATATCACCACTAACTTCCCAAATTCCCAAGTCTTCATGTCTTTCTCCACGGTAAACACAGAGGAGAAATATTCATTGAGGACCTCACCCATCTTCTGCAGTTCCACACATACATGTCTACTTTGGTCCTTGAGGGGTCCTATTTTCTTTCTGTTATTCTTTTTCCTTTAATATACTTAAATAATCTCTTTGGATTCACCCTAATCTTCTCAGCCAAAGCTATCTTGTGCCCCGTTTTCACCCTCCTGATTTCCTTTTTCAGTAAACTCCTGTATCCCCTATATACCTTCAGGGATCCCCTTGATCCCAGCTGCCTGTACCTGAGCCATGCCTCCTCCTTTTTTCTAGTCAAAGTCTCAAAATCTCTTGTCAATCAGGGCTCCCTACTCCTGCCAACCTTGCCCTTCGCCCTCACAGGAACATATAGACCTTGAACTCTAGCTATCACACTTTTAAAGGCCTCCCATTTGCCGGAGGTCCCTTTGCCTGCAAACAAACCACTCCAATCAACTCCAGCAAGGTCCTATCTAATTCCATCAAAATTCACTGCTCAAGTTTAGAACTTGAACCTGTGGACCAGTCTTGTGCTTCACCATAACTATTTTAAAATTAACAGAAATATGGTCATTGGTCCCAAAATGCTCCCCGACTGTCACCTCAGTCACCTGTCCTGCCCTATTTCCCAACAGTATGTCAAGTATTGCCCGTTCCTGAGTAATACACTCTACATACTTCTTCAGGAAACTTTCTTGAACACATTTAACAAATTCCACTCCATCTAAGCCCTTAACACTATGGCAGTCCCAGTTATGTTAGGAAAATTAAAATCCCCCACTACGACAACCCTATTGCTCATTCAATTCTCCCCAATCTCCTTGCATATTTGTTCCTCTAATTCCCGTTGACTATTTGGAGACCTTCTTATTTCTTAGCTCCACGCACAAAGCCTCCTTGGATGATCCCTCAGTTATTTCATCTCAGACGAATGCTGTGATACTCCCCTTAATCAAAAATGCAACTCTGCTCCCCTCTTTTTTCCATCTCTGTCACGCCTAAAGCACCTGTACACTGGCACGTTAAACTGCCAATCCTGTCCTTCCCTTAGCCACGTTTCTGTAATGGCTATAATATCCCAATCCCACGTACCTATCCATGCCCTGAGTTCATCGGCCTTACCTGTCAGGCTTCTTGCATTGAAACAGATGCAATTTAATCCAACAGGCATTCCTTGCTCCCTGTCATGTTCCAGCCTGACCCATCTCTTCAACTTGCTATTTCTGATTACTACATCTCCTTCCAGCTTCACACTTGCCTCCCTGCTGTAGAGAAGCCCACCGCCCTGCCAATCTAGTTTAAACCCTCCCTTGTAGCACTAGCAAATCTGACCGCCAGGATATTGGTTCTCCTCTAGTTTAGGTGCAACCTGTCTCTCTTGAACAGATCACCTCTGCCCCAGAAGAGATCCCAATGATCCAGGAGTGTGTTGTAGCTATAAGTTTAATTAGATTTATAATTATTGAGGATATTGATTAATTATTTCAACTTCAGTTCTGCATGAGTCTAAATGTGTGCCAACATAAATTAAAAAGGCAATGATAGTATGTGACTACATCACCTTATTAAGGAATTACTAAGAATGAAAAAGTAGCTCATGGAAACCAAAATGAACTCCTCAGAAGAAAAAAATCTATTTTGTGCTCTGGTAACATTTCTTCACCCATTGCTGCTGAAATTATTGGGTTGGATTTTTCAATGAATGGCAATTTCACACAGATTGCCACTTCACACCTTATAAGCGCAATGAAAGAGCTCCACATTTCTGACAGAAGATTCCAATCAGGGCTGCCTCAGAAATGCAGGATGCTTCCAAGAGGCGTAGGGGTACCATGACATAGAGTGCTAGATGAGTAGAATACCAAGTGGGTAGGGTGCCAGGGAAGAAGGGTGTCAGGACATTAGATGGAAAAGGGACCAGGTAACTGATGAAGTATTTAAGGTAGATTAGGGCGGGTGAGAGATATTGCGTCCTGTAGGGGACAGGGGTGTTAAGCCCCATGTGGGGGTGGTTGTCTCCTAGGAAAGGATTGGGTCTGGCAGTGGAGCAGGAGTAATGGGTCGGAAGCTGGGGGAGGTCAGTTCAGGCGGTGGCCAAAGGGATGGTTGGGACTGGAGCAGGGTAGGGGCATGTCAGTCCAGAACCAACAGGAGTGCTGGGTCCAGCAGTAGGGCAAGTGGTGTTGGGTTCCGGGTGTTGGTCCTAAGGAGTGGAAGAGGAGTTAAGTCCAGACCAGGCATGGGTTTCAGGTCTGGCAGCAGGGCAGGAATGGTCAGGTCCAGTGGTCGTGATAGGGGTTGGGCATGGTGTGGGGAACGGATTCAGGTCTCAGGAAGAGATATTGAATCCTGGATAAAGAGGAGGGTGGGATTTGTCGGGTCTAATGGCGAGGGATTGTCAGGTTCAGGGATGGAGCAGTGTTGAGTCTTTGGGTTGGGGGGGGGTGGTGGTCATGTGGGGTGGCAAGGAAGTGTCAAGTCCAAGGGTTAGACATGGGTGGTGTCAGGTCATGTGACAGGAGTGTCAAGTCTCAGAGATAGCCCAAATGTCAGGTCAGTGTCTGGGAGGGGGTGTTAGGAGTATAGAGGAGATACAGTTGAGGGGGTTGTGAGTGTTAAGTTGGAAGTACATTTTAGTATTACTTAGGAGTTTGACTAGGCATTTAATAGGTTCCTGAGTAGCTACTTACCTTCAGGGGACCCTCTAAATTCTCTGATTTAAATTGATACATGCTGTAGTATATAGAAATTGACCAGCGCACTTTTCAATTTCTCTGGTAATTCATTTAGCATCCGCTACTATGGAGATTCCACGGAGTCCCCTTGCCACAACTCCCATCTACGTTTCGGGAACTATTATCCGGCCATTGGAAAGTCTAGCCAGACTGATGGGATTAGAATACTCAACAAACTGAGCCATCTAATTTATTTCCCCCAAGACTCCATCAGTCATCTAAGAGGAAGAGACCATTCTTCCTATTCTTCAATTGCTGTACAAATAATTCCACAGCACCAACCAAAAAGCTGTACAACTGGCCATTATGATTCAGATTACAATCAGAGTAACATGCCATCCACTCGCCACGGAGAAGTCAACTACCTTTTAGACAACATTTGTTGGTTTTAAGAAGCAATTTCAAGTGCTGCCAGATAGCAAGATGGTTGATTAGAACTGGCAGTTCACCTCCTTATCATGAAAAGGATTTCTATCAATTCTATTGGATGAGAAGAACAGTATACCCAATGAGTGCTTGCTGAATAAATGCAAAATGTGAAAATCTGCTCCCATCTCTTCCACATTCTCTCAATTCATATTGATTTTGCTCACAAAAGTGAGTGGCTGGTCCAAAATGATCCCCATAGATGTAATAAGATGTGATCTTTTTATAACTTTATTAGATTTTATAGACTGATGGTCACTCTATATTTAGCATTTATAGGGCAATGGTAATCTCAAATTTGAATCTATAAGATGTAAGATTTATCATCAGAGGAACCAGGCACAATAGCTAAAAAAGAAACACTTCTTAAAGTTTTTTTTTACTAACCAACTGAGTTTAACAGTGTCCTTTAGGTAGCAACTAAATAAAAATAACAAAAGAGATAGAAACAAGTAAATATTGGCAATAAGTCAAATAACCCATAGCTGCCTTGTAGTGGAGCATCTGTAACATAATGAACAGCTGTAATGATAGAAGTACAGGTCATACAACTGCATTTACGCACCTACTACATTTAGCAGGTAATGATTTGTATGCTGGTGCCTCAATGATTATATTTGAAATAGCGAAGACATGTATAATACCTGGTAAATAAAAAGTTTCCCCATATGTAGGCCATTGAATTCATATGACTTAGTGTAATTCCCATTGGTATCATTGGAATGTTGGTGTAATCTTCAGTTCCAAGAAGTAAAAGAAAACCTTGTTTCTCTGCAGAGGCAAGGGAAGAAATAAGAGATAGAGATGATGATCAGCATGATTTCAGAGTTATTCTCCAAGTAACTTCTAAATTTTGTCTCTGTGCTTTATTGTGTGGTTTTATGCCCATGTCCTTGAATTTTAGTTGAAGACAGACTGGTTAAGGAGAACAATACTTTAACTAATATAGACTGATGGTCACTCTATATTTAATATTTATACAATTGTGATAATCTCAGATTTGAACTATTTTGTTTATCAAATGATAGAATTCCTATGTTCAAAAATCTACCTTTAGATCACAGTAATGGCTAATTTAATGTGTTTAAACAGGATCTGTGCATCTTTAGACCCACCTCCACAGGTGCACTTGCTGTTTGTTCAAACTGCCCACTGACAAAATAGTAGCCTGCCTCTGTAAAAAAAAAAATCACCAGCTATTGCTGCTACCTTTCTCGGGCAGGGTTGGAACCAGGAAGCGCCAGTTTCTCAACCCCTAAGGAAAATCCTGCCCTTAGTCTCCCAAATGAAAATTATATTTGATTTAGAGAGAGACAAGAATGATTCACTGTACTAATTCCTGGGTTGACAGAATTCTGGAATGGGAATAAATTGAATAGAATAGGTCGATATTCATAACACTGGATCAAGTGCCATGGTCAGATTTTTAGGTGGGTTCTGACGGGCTTCCCAACCAATCAGGTCTCACAGCCGAGATATGCCACCCTGCCTGAAGTTGCCATCCAATTGGAGGCCAGCAGCCAATGTGTGCAGCAGCAACATATCTAATGCCAGGCTGCTGGTTGTAGAGCAACAATGAAAATTAGGACCAGCAAAAATGTTAACAATTTCTTTTGCAGGAGTACATTAGGTGGAGGCTATAGGGTGAGGGGGTGCTGGAGGTTAGATGCACGTGCAGGAGTGTGGCTATTCATACAACCCTCCCGACGTGCCCTCAAAGTGAGGAAAATGGAGGCCCGAACAAGTTGGAAGGTATGCTGTTTTGATTTCCCATCTGGGTTAGGCAGTAATTGGGCCAGTAACAGATTGAGGCTCTCAAGTAGTCACTAATTGATCATTTATGGTGAATATATGCACAGATCATTGAAGGCGGCAGGAGGGTTCTTGTGGTAGTCCCATAGTTCATGTTCCACCTGTTCCATGTGTGTGTCATAACATGTCTGAATGGTTGATCAGAAAATATTTTGAAGGTGGCAGGACAAGTGGAAAAAGCAGTTCATAAAACTGAGGACACTGTATGGAGCTGGAGGAACACAACAGGCCAGGCAGCATCAGAGGAGCAGGAAAGTTGACATTTCAGGTCCGGACCCTTCTTCAGAAATGGGGAGGGAAGGGAGCTGGGAAACAGACAGAGAAGGGGTGGGGCTGGAGAAGGTAGGTGGGATGATGATAGGTGAGTGCAGGTAGGGAGTGGTGGGGATTGGTCAGTGGGATGGGTAGGGCTGACAGGTGGGAGGCAAAATGGACCAGATTTTCCTACTAGTTTCAGCATAACAATCACATAGGTAATAGTTTTATTTTAAATTCCTCTCAGTGAGGAAAACCTCTGTGTATCACAGGAAGCTACAAATATGTACTGATTCTCACCTTTTGGAATATTCAAAGGAAGCTTATAATGAAGTGTGAAGCTTGCAGTTCCTGAAACATATAAAAAGGTCAAGAAGAATTATTTGCCAAAAAATGGCCACTGTACATCTCGAAATAATATTCACTTAAGACCAGGATTTCCCCGGTGGACTATATGTAGGTTTTAGGTCATTTGAGAATAGACGCTGTGGGATAATCGAACATGGGTCATGACAGATCTTTGACAATGAGGTAAGATAGGAAGGGCTGGCAGGTAGATATAGAGACAGGCATATGCAAAAAAAAACTAAGCATTCACAAGGCACAGTTTGGGGTGGAGGTGCACAGACAGAAGCTGCAGCAGAATTGGTGACTAGTGAGTAAACATTTTGTTACATTTGGTTAGCTTAACTTGGTAAGGTTTGAACAGTAAACAATTACATATTACATATTAAGACACTACATACTGCTTTACAGAAGCCTAACTAACTCTGTTAAAGCCATGATGCTTCTCTTTCTGAGTCTCTTCCTCTCATGTGCTTTCTTACATCATCACAATTGGAGGTGTTACCCACACCGTTACAGACAGTAACCCATTCAAACATTTACACTCTGGGGTTGTAGGGGAGGGGGTGGGGGTGTGGAACCCAGGATTTTAAGTATCTATGCATTAGACATCTTTTTTTAATGATGAAATCAACTAACAGACACGTAAAGAACAATTAAAGATTGGAATTTTTGTTGGTTCTTTCATCATCTGTCACCCAATTATCCTTTATGGCTCAGGCAGATCGATCTGCGGTGGAATTCCTGAACCACTTTGAATAGTTAATATTATATCCAACAAATGGAGTGCATTCTATACCTTGTTTAGTTCTGTGCTCTCTTTAAGTGTTGTTAAACATGAAATAATACTGGTGTCATTCTAATTAACTATAACCTGAATATGATACACAAAAATAATTACATTGCATTGAAAGTGGGATGGAATTCTTATTTGTATCTTAAGTTATAAGTATACTCAACATTTTACAGTACACATAACACCACAGAGTAGTATATGCATTGAGGAACAAAATTTATTTCCAAAGATGCTTGGAAGCATAAATACTAAAAAAGTTTGGCATTTTTAATTGTTGGTTGCAATTTCCAGCTTGCTGTATTTTACAGTGAATTTTTAAAATTGCAAAATAAAGTATAATTTGCTGAGTTATTGAAAACTGCTATTTGTTATTTCCCTCGCTTCTTAAAATCATCCTCCATGCTCCCTCATGCCCCTCCACGTCTCCTTAGACCACCACATTTCATTCAAGCTCTATGACATCTCTATTCCCTGTTTATGCTTCCTAATACCATGCCCCGCCCATCCTGCCTCACACCTGTCATGCACACCCATGTCAGACTTCATGTCCCAACCAAGTCCCACCATATCCACTATTCTCCATCCATGTTCCCTCGTATGCCCAAAACCCCCACCATTCCCCTCTTATCCGTTATGCCCCTCTATAACTCCATCTCTGCTCCGATGTTCTCCACATATCTTTCATAACCACTCAAACCAGTATCCAATATAGCCCCAGCGTATGGTGTCTTTGACATGGATGTTAAAAACAAATAAACTTCTAACAATCTAATCTCATTCAAAAATATCATACTGAAAATACACTGCTTCAAAAATATCAGTTTGAAAAGAATTAAATCTTCCCTAGTCTCTAATCTGTTATAAGAACTAAGAATAAAAACAAAATCTAGTTTGTTAACTACAAAGAGAGCTAATGTATTAATTTTCCAGCTCACAGTGGAACAAATTCAGATTGCCAACATAGTTCAAGTAGTTTTTTGAAAACTGCAACAAGTACCTCATCAATCAAAAAATGTCCAGGAGTAGCTTCTCTCCCCCCTTTAAACGACTGCTGAATTTTCATTAATTTACAAAGGACTCTGGAACTTAAATTATTTCAGACTACTTCACAAGAGATCCTGCTGTGAAAAGAAATCTAACTTACAAGACAGCATCTACTGAAACTCAAAAGACTTTTTTCTGTATTCCAAAGCCTGTCAATAAGAGAATATCAGGATAACTTCTGGTTTGGTTCATCACATGGCAGTAGGGTTCCCTTGTAGTTCATGATTCCTCTGAGGATGTGCGAATTACGTCTACTTAGCAAAGAGTCCCAGTTCCACTAAAATTACAGGAGGGCGAGAGCTAAACTAGCCATTCCCCGCAACACAGGCAGAAAGGGCAGGATTGCCGCAATGCTCACTGCTTGTAACATTACTCCACACCAATAAAAAGGGCTATAAAGAGAAATGGTGCAGGAATCTCAGAATCATCTCCCACCTGCCATTGCAAAAATCTAGACCATTGATTCTGATTTCTCTCCTCAGATGCTGGAAAACCTGCTGAAAATTTGATATTTTTATTTCAGATTGCATGTATTTCAATATTTTGCTTAGTAATAAATAAGACTAGAACCAGGTGTGAGTAGTTCAACTCAGACAAACAATGTTTTCACATTACCAGTAGTTAAAATCCTTTAGAATAATGCACGCACCAAAGTAGTAATATACGAGATAATATTCTGTAGCTTCATAATCAGTTTTTATGCCTTCCACAAGAAGAAGAGTCGCATTTTGAAATCTATCCAAGGCAGCCCAGAGCACAAGGCAATCTCCTGAAAGAAAACTATAATTAACTTCAGCATGTTTCATGCATAAATTGATTAAGGCAGCTCTGGTGCCATAATGTCCAGAAATGTAACCCCTCACCCCAAAAACCTACGAACAGGCCGGCAGACAAAAAGGGGTTTAAAATTGAAGGCCAAAGCAACATGCCGATTATTTACCTGACCACCTTGGAGTTAAATCCATGGTGGGGGAGGCATCAGGCAACCTGGTCACCCACGCCCAGTTAAAATCTGGCAGTCCTAGTTTCTGAGTCAGGTGATGAATATATGTAGTCTTTAAAGTAAAATCAATTTGTTTTCAATTTGTGCTTAGGTCGCCCCAGTGTCTTCTTTTCTCCTTTCTTAAAAAGGAACTGGTCAAGTATTATATTCATACTGGTGATATTTTTCCTTTTCGTTTCAGTTTATTAAAATTAAATATCATTACAGTAGAATGTAAAGAGCACGGAATCTCAAGTAATTAACTTATACATGAAATTAAATAAGATAATGACAACAGACATGTGATGGATTGCAGCTGCAACACGTGGAAGCTGCTGGACAGCAATGTGATCCAGAGCAAACACATCTAAAGTAAGTATTTGCTGCTGGAGGAATATCGGTTCTAAGTTGAGGAGCTGGAACTTAAGTTGCAGGTATTGCATCACATCAGGAAAGAGGAAAATTACCGGGACACTTTGCTGCAGAGGTCAGTCACACTATTCAGACTAGGTAACTCAAAATTGGTCTCTGATCAGGGACAGGGTGGGTGTGACTACAAGTGAGGGTGGTATGAGGAACCATCGGGTTACTTTTGAGGAGCCTTGGCCCCTGCAATTGTCCAGTAGATACGGCATTCTTGCAAGTTGTGCAGACAAGAGTGTGGACTGCAGGGAGGTTGAGCAAACAGACCACAGCACCTGGGTACAGGGAGTCATTCAAATGTGGGAAGCTGGAATGTAGTAATGTACAGACAGTATAATTGTGGGGATAAAAATTATTCTCTGCAGCCATAAGCAGGAATTCTGAAAGCTCTGTCAATTTCCCAGTGCCAGTGTTAAGGACATCTCCTCAGGGCCAAAGGAAAACATGGAGATGGAGGAGTGGAATCTAATAGTCTTCATCTACGTTGGTACCATCTACACTGGCAGGATTCGAAAGGAGGTTCTATTGCATGATTTAAACAGTTAGGAGCTAAATTAGAAAACAGACCCTCCAAGGTAATAATCTCTTGATTAAGACCTGAGCCATACTCAAACTGGCATTGGGTAAGTAAAATCAAGGAGTTAAAATGTAGGTCAAAGTTTGGTGTGGGTGGAATGGATTTCAGTTCATGGGATACTATCACCAGTACTGGGTAGAAGACAGCTATACTGTTGGGATGAACTTCAGTTGAACTGTGCAGAGGCCAGTGTCCTGACAAATTGTATAATGAGGACTGTAAAGAGTGCTTTAAACTAAGCAGAGGGAAAAGGAAAATGTAAATTTACAAAGTAAGAGGATATGGCAGCATTACAGTAGACGTATTTGAATGATGATAGCCAGAGTGGAAGAGGAAGGGACAGTGTACTAAAATAGAAAAACAGCAGCAAATAGGTTCAGAGGGATAAAAATAGTAAAAAGGCAAGATTAATGGCTCTTCACTTGAATGTTCATTGTATTCAGAACAAAATAAATGAATTTATGGCAAAAATACACATTAATGGGTATGTCAAAACTTCGACTTTCCTATTCCTCTGATGCTGCCTGACCTGCTGCATTCCTCCAGATCCACACTGTATTGACTCTGACTCCATCTGCAGTTCTTGCTATCTCTTAATGGATAAGATCTTATAGTCATTACGAAGGCATGGTTACAAGAACGGAGCTGGGAACTTAAATATTCAGGAGGATGTGACTTTTCAAAAGCACAGGCAGGAAGGAAAAGATGGTGGAGTTGAATTACTAGTATTCAATGGAATAAATACAATCGCAAGAAATTTCTTGGATTGGAAAACGTAGAATCAACATGACGGAGTTAAGAAATGAAAAAGGGAAGAAAACATTGGTAGATGTTGTCTTTAGGCCTCATAAGAGTAGCTACATGATGGATCAGAGAGTAAATCATGTAACAAAAGCAGTTTGTTATTCGGGGTGACTTTAAACTTCATGTAATTTAGCAATTGGATAAGGTAAGATTGTCTGCCTTAAAACTGAGACGGCTGAGGTGTGACTTAATTGATATGTACAAAATAATGAGAGACTTGGATAAAGTGAACAGGAAGACCTCTTTCCCCTAAAGGTGAAGTTACTTACCAACGGGCACAGGTTCAAGATGACTGATGGAAGAATTAGAGGGACATGTGGAAGAATTTTCATCAGAGGCAGAGGTCACACGACACTAGGTTACAGTCCAACAGGTTTATTTAAAATCACAAGCTTTTGGAGCACTGCTCCTTGACTTGACAAAGTACGACTGTTCATAGACTTCAGGTGGTTAGGTCTCAGGAGAAGCCCTGGAAGCAAATTAAAATTCAGTGCAGCTGAGACTACATTGAATGAAGTCCACTAGTTGTACTTGTTTGATGAAGCTGAGAAATATGGAGTTTAGAGAAATTTGGTAGCAGCTCGGTCAAGCCAGCTGTTTGACAAAAAATTGAAATCATGCTGGTAATTAATTATTGACAGCTGTCTCAAAAAAACTCAATATAGGGAGAAGAGATTGAACTAGGATATGAGCAATCATTGAGGTAGTCCAAATCAGAGAGGCTTTCAGGGAATTCGAAGGCTAGATCTTTGAAACTGAAGAATTGCAATCCCTTGCAAAGCAGACTGAGGTTTAGTTAAGAGAGATAGTAGGAACTGCAGATGCTGGAGAATCCGAGACAACATGGTGCAGGGCTGGATGAACACAGCAGGCCAAGCAGCATCATAGGAGCAGAGAGGCTGACGTTTCGGGCCTCGACCCTTCATCAGAAAAGGGGGAGGGGAAGGGGGTTTTGAAATAAATAGGGAGAGAGTGGGAGGCGGATAGAAGAGGGATAGAGGAGAGGATAGGTGGAGAGAGTTGCAGTGGGAGAGAGATCCCTTGAGGTTTGTCCGGAGGGAGGAGGGTAACTTCTTCAGGTTAGACATCCTTAGAAGAGGCTTCGCAGTGGGGTTAAAATTGAATCAGAGATAGTAGGAACTGCAGATGCTGGAGAATCCGAGACAAC